GAGAGTCTGTTGAGTATAGTTGTGGGCCCATTTAAATTCCTAGATGTATGGTAAATCGAGGGGTTCGTCTGTGCAACCTAGATGAATTCTACCAATAAAGCCCTGATCTCCCACATCACATTTTTTAAGATATATTCATGCCAACAGCCACCTTGGTTAGATTGAGGGAACCAGACAGGAAGGTGGCCTGTTACAGGGAAATGAGGTTGCAATCTTGGCTCCAAAAGGTAGAGTTGATGCTTCGGGCTAGAGGGGCGGAAGGGTGGCAGCAGAAGAAGCTTGAACCTTGATCTTGCGGGTTCCCGAGCCACTAGTTGACATGATAAAATTGTGGATTCATGTACCTGTAACACCAGCAAACATGGAATCCTAGTGTTATTGAATGTAACATTCGAGAAGACTTTTTCCCCTCAATAAGATGATCAAAGTAAATTGCAAGTCCCTGCAATGGAAGAGAGTGTTGCGCTTGAACTGACGCATCCCCATGATCATGTACATCTTTCAAGAGGGCTTAGCATGATGAAATGGCCCTCTCAGCTTGGTGTGCCTAGTGAGGAACACACATTTTCCTAGCAAAAATGCAATTAGTTTAAGATTTCCACAAACACCATAAGAATGTTTCTTTTAAATTTCAATGGTGGCATGTGGGTGATTCATGGATAGTAGACTCTAGACGATGATTTGTAAGGAGACATGGTTTTCGGTAAGAAGATTAGATCTAGTATACCATGGGTGGTTGAACCATGCAACTCTAGCAAAGGACAATGAAAGAAAAAGACGCAATTATCCTCATGTTGATTACACATGCAACATTATTTATCTGTATGGATAGAGAATCTACAGGCTCTTATACATGTGGATGGTGCTTTTAGAAGGAGCCTAATGGCAAAAATTTAAACTCTTGGCGTCATCTACTTATGTTTCCAAACCTACTTGAGAAATTTTCTTTTACCTAATTGCATCTTTTTCTTCAAAGAGGGAGGAAATAAGATGATTGTTTCACTTTTTTTACTTGAAGCCCAAATATCTTTCCCTACCCCTACCAGGATAAATAAAGTTAGCAAGTCAAAATAAACACTTTAGTTCTTTCACTCGTAGGATCAAGTGACAAAGAAATAGGGGAAAGAAACAACAACTTGATTGAAATGTAGGTGCAAAATAGTGGAGCAATTGCAAGAAATGTTTGAAGGGGGGGGGGGGCTTGCAAGAATAGTTGCATGGATATAGCAGACATAGGAAAATGTCTTGACCCTAGAGTGTGCCGTTCTAGAGCCTGGGTTCATCTACTCCCACCCATGAAAAATAATTTCAAAAAAGATCAAAATTCGTTTAGCACCGTAGATGCTCTAGGCACTAGGTGCGTGCAAAATTTGTTGGTGAAAGAACATTTGAGGAGAGCTCATGAAAAAGTAAGAAGCTTTGAAAAAAGACACTATTGAGAGCCAATTTTTTTCTGGGAGCTCCTCAAATGTCCATTCACGATGAAATTTTGCATGCACCTGGTTCACTTGAGCATTTTTACGGCAAAAAATTCATTTTTTTACTATGTTTTAAAATTTACAATTCACCGGGTACGGATGAGGCTGGGCTCATACGTGGATTACCGCTTGATAACACTCCTACACAAACTAGTTTTAACTAAAAAGAGGTTCAAGTGATATTCCTATGGAATGGAGGCATGGAAATAGAGATATCACCATTCTTTAGCCCTCCGTTGGGTTGTAGGATTTTTGTAGGAACGGTATAGGATAGGATTTTTGAAAGAAAAGTTTCTTTGGAGCTCTTTGGTTTGTAGGAATGAATTCCTATTCCTATGTAGGACAGAAACCAATCCTTCGCATTTCAAAGAAAAAAATAACCAAGACTCAACGGAAAAAATTCATATCCTATATTTCAAATGACATCTCTTTCCCTATAAAAATTAAGCGATGTTTCCTATCCTATGAATCAAAGTATAGGGATGTAAACGGATCAGATCAGATAATGCCTTCCCCATACCTTTTACCATATAATTTTGTCGGATTTGGAGCGGAGCGGATAATGAACGGATGTGGATTTTATAGGACTGCGGATTCGGAATGGACTCAGACCGGAAAGTATTGGGCCATAAATGCAATGAGACATGATTTTTATTTCTACTATGCAAGCAATATGAACATAATTATTTTATCCGACCACATAACACTAAGAGTGACAAGGATTTATACTAACTCGCACCAATACGACAACAATTTATATGCGGTGATTCTAGTTAGTGGGGTAATTGGATATTTGGGCTTGTTGATTGACCTAAATTTATCATATGATCCTATTTGATAATCTCGGATAATCCGCAAAAAATACCGGGTAATCCACATGCGTCGGATATTATCAACACCGTATCTACTGGATATCCGGTTGACCAAAATTCGCATCTGCATCCATATATGGTGGATTCGTGCATGTGCATACCATATCCTTTGAAACGGATGCGGATGCGTATTCGTTACATCCGTACCAAAGGAGGCCTTAGGTTTAAAGGACATACAAAAAATCTTTGAAATTCTAAGATGCTCTCAGCAATTATAAGCAACCGCAGGGACCTACATGACAAAGCTTCAAAAAGAATATTGGGCCACTCCCCATCCCCTCCCTCGCTTCTTCCCATCACACGCTCCATTTCCGAAGAAAACAGAGCACAGAAAAAGAAAGGATTTTGATTTGCTCTCGTGCGCCTGCGGCGTCGTCCACAACGCCAATCTGGGCAGCACTCCATCCTCTCTACATAAGCGGCTCCCCTCCACCATCCCCTTCCTTTCCTCTTCCGCCTCCCTCTCCTGGCCGCCGCCTCTGCCCCCCCTCCCGCTGCCGCGGCGCCGCAGCCCAGCGTCGCCGCCGACGCATCCGATTCCTCCCGCCGCCTCCGCCGCTCCCGTTCTTGGCCGCCGCCGCCCCCTCGTCAGCAATCTCGGACATTCCTTTTCGAGGTATGAGCCTTTTCGCCATCCAGTGATGACCTCTGCAAATTTTCGGTACGCCGTGTGCGCACCGCCTAGATCCGGCCCTGGGCCGGGGAGGGCCATGAATTGATCCTTGCTGCCGGTTACACGGTTCGGTATGTCGTGTAGTTGTTCGGTCTGTTATTATTTTATGGCGAGATACTGTTCACAGATCACCTTTGTTGAGCTGCACAGGTTTTGCGTGGAAATGGAATTCTCGTTCAGGATTCCTAGTTTTTGTGTGTGTTGGGAATATCTCTGCAATGTTTTGCTGGTGATACACCATCCGTAGGGCAGAAAAACCATAGGTGTAAACGATATTCTTGGAATAAGAACATCTGTGTAAAGAGATTAAAATCAAGCTTTTGCATTTACAGTTATCCTGTTTGCACCGCCTTTTCTGTTTGGAGTTGCAAGTAGTAATTAACATCCCATTTGACCGTTCCTGTTGGGTGAATCTTCGAATGATCCCCAATTTGAGCTACCAAAGTGATTAGGTCATTAGGCATCTCTGTTTGACTATTAGCTGAAACCAGATTCCATTTTGCTTGGGGTGAGAAGAAAGTAGAATATTCGTGTCCTATGCGTTTTGCAGGTGCCTTAGGTGTAAAGTGTCCCTATCTAGTCCTACAACAGTGCAGTTGCATCAAGTCATCTCTTGCAGATATATGCTGTTTCTTTTCTCGCCTTTTTCCAGTCATTGAGACATGGTACTGATATTCTTCTTCTGGTGTTAAGTAACTGCCAGCAGTGACTACTCCCCATACTGGGAAAGAATTCTATGAGACCAGGTCTCACGCGAGACCCATCCTGATGGATGACACGTGGCATTCACAAATCACAAAGCACCCCCCACCCCCCACTTAAAATCAGGGGGGAGAGAGATTAGATGCTTTGT